GACGTCTTCTATCTCCATGCCCTATCCCCTGGAGCCTCTCTGAGCCTCTCTAGTGCACAGGGCCCTGTCTCCTCCTGCTCACCAGAAGCTTGCTGCTCAGGGATTTTGCCCCTGTGGAATAAATCTTTTTCTTCAATTTGGAAAGTTCAAGAAAATCTGGAGCTGGGTCTATCTATGTCTACCAGGTGGTACCTTGCGCAGGAAAGTAGGAAATTCCTAAAAATGGTAACAGGTTTTATATAAGAAAGATGACATAAAGATGGCTACCTTGCGGGTGCAGAGCAGAGTATCTGACACGTGGAGCGTTGCTAAGGTGCCTGGAAGGTTTAGGAATAAGTGCAGATGCATTTCCAGGAAGCTGACACCGCTCTCCATCACCCAGCAGATTCACCCTACCTGTCCTCTGCCTGTGCCCTGGAAAAGCCAGCCCTGCTGCAACAGCAAGTCCCTTAGTAGATGTTGGCCCCAGTTGTGGCATGCTCATGAGAAAAGAAGGCCCTGTCTGCTAAAAACTGATGCTGTTCTCCTGCTGGCAGATACCAACAACCAGAAGACATCAGTTACCTCCAGTTACTGGTTCCTCTATGACGCCTCTGCTTGGAAGTCCTAGGAAAAGCAATTCTTTCACTTCTGTGTTAGCAGCATGAGGCTCTGGAGACTTCACTGAAGATTCACTGCTTCCCTACCCAGAACTTTACTATCCAGAATGCAGCAGCAGGAGGAGGGGGTATGTCGAGCCCTTTGTACCTGGGAGGAGTGAGAAGCACTGGTCCTCTCTCAGGAGGGTTCTTAGCCAAGGTCCTCAACCAAAAACTTGAACAGAAGCCTTTGCAAGTTGTCTGGAATGAGAGGACTCTTCCCAGGGAATTTTAAGAAGGTAGTTTCTGCCTGCTCCCAAAACATTTCCTATAGGTGCATAACACCTTGTGTTAGGTAATTGATACATTCCCCAAAGCTGCAAATCGAGGGCTTGAAACTTTATTTTGTTTCAACATTGTTCCAATGTTCAGGGTGAACAATTTCAAAATCTCATAAGCAAAGTTCTATAAAGTTGCAGTTGACTGACATTTATAGAAGGAATCTTTCCAACACCTCCCTGATCTGCTTTCTTTGAGTTCCAGATACTTTCTCCAATGCTTAGGAGTTAATCATTACTGGGAATTCTGACAAGAATGTAACTTTCCTCTTCAAATTTTGTTTTTGTGTACAGACCTGTCCCACCTGAATGTGCCACACGGTTCCCCCAGTGAATGACCTGTCCAGCCCAGCTGGCTCATACCTCCTGGAGTTGTTAGAGTCAGACTAGTCTAGTAGACTCACGTGGGAAATTGATTTCAGTTGAGTAATAGCAAATAGTGGCAAGAAAATAAAACCAATCTTCTGATTTCATCTTTGAACTAAATCATAGACATCTTTAAAATCAAGATAATCATTCTTCTAGAAATGCTTGCACTTGTATGTGGCTTTGATAACAGTATTTATTTTAAACTCAAGGTCAGATGTGATTAATGATTATCACAAAAGAGATGTAGTTGGGAAAGATCTATAGGAAAACCATCTGTTTATTTAAGCCCAGAGAGATGGAATTTATTAAAAAGAAATATAATGGTCTCAGAGTTTGCCTTAGGATATGTCTGGCTCACCACTGTTCTGCTCTGGGCCTTCTACTGTGACCATCAGTAGATTCGGACTGAATAAATGAGTGGTGGTCAGATATTCTCCAAGGAATGGACCAGAAACTTCAGCCCAGCATTACACAGGGCCAAACACAACAAAGTGGCTCATTCTAACAAGTCAGTGTGGACGGGATTGTGCATTTAACCCTATTTCCACATGTTGGGGAAGGAGCTATAGTATAATAATGACCATACAAACTCAAAACCTGAGCAATCTGATGTGGTATCTGACAAGCTAGGCCTTGATAGTTTGGGCTGTGGAGGTCTAATACTTCTCCACCCATGGTATTGGTGTCAAAGGGTTATTTCTTCCTTTAGCTGTTTAAGATGTGGAACAAAATAATTTGAATTCCTTGTGGGTGTGACATTTTTCCTAAACAGATTGAATCTTAAATTTAGATGTTGTTACAGAATAACATGGAGGAGGAAATAGCAGTGTTGTCTGAAATCAATTAAGTCTAAGACCGAGTATACCAGGATAATGAATTATTGTGCATTAAGCAACACTATTTATCAATGGGCTAGATTGTAAGCACAAATCTAGGGAGTATGTGTAGGAGGTATAAAGAACTCAGGGTGGAAATAAATCCTTAGGGAAGAGGAACACACCCAACATAAGCAACTACAGAGAGTCAATTATGTCCCTCATTTTTCTGGCCAAGCACAGTAGAGGCAGAAAGGTCCTAGACTTTTGGAAAGCTCTCTCTAATAGGGGTTCTAACCCCAAAGGCAAAAGAAAAGAAGCTATTCCAAGAATAATTTGGAGAGCAAAAGCATTTGCATGAAGTGCCTAACACTTGAAAATAAAAACTTAAATAAGTTTTTAAAATAAAACAAAAACTTAAATAAGGATTTATTTGTTGCATTGTGCTATACAGACAAAACCTGGAATCATTTTCAAGAGAAGCAGTTGGGGTACCCATACTTACAATGTGCCTTGAAGAGTGGGAGGCTCTGGAAATTGAATGACAGAAGCTTAAGTTATTCTATTGTGCAATGATAGTGATAGTTATTGTAACAGCATTTATTAAATTCAGTGGTTCAGGTATTTTCCCATGCATTCATTCATTCCATCGTGCAAGATAATCTTGCAAAATAGGTTAAAATTTTTATTAATATTATTTCATTAATTAACTTTTTCCTGGATTATATATGCACATGACACAACGTTTGAAAAGAACAAAAGCAATTTCAGTGAGCAAGTGTGGGAATACCATTGCATCCCCTCTTCCCCCTGGGGCAGCAGCTGCTAGTGATGCTTCAATGTACTTCTTTCCGGATGTAATATCTTATAAGAAATGCATATAAGTGCTAACAGACTTTCCTCTTGTTTCCTACTTTGTACTTAATGATATGTCTTTCATCTATACCAAATAGCATTCCATACCTTGGAGATTGGTCCCAGTCTGGACATATGGACCTACTTCATTTATTTTAATGATTGCATAGAATTTCCTTACATAAATGAGGCATAATTTATTCTGACTCATTTATATAATAAAAGGCTCTTGGACTGTTGCCGGTCCTCTGCTTCTAAAACTACTTCAGTGGAGAATCATGATTTCACACAAGTGAGTTGGCCAGCTTTGCAAAACAGGTCCTGCAACTCCCAAGACCCGAGGCTAGAGCCTTCCATTCTCAGCTCCACTCTAGAATGAGGGTAGGATTTCTGCACAGGCAATGCAGGCTAGAAGCAGGAGCAGTCGTCTTCTCTTAGATAAGGCTTTATTACAATTTGTAAAAGTATAAAACGTTACCTTCTTTTCACTAATTTTTGGCAATATAATTTTTAATGTACTTTTTATGCTATTATTAATGGTCTTATTCTTAGGTAGAGAATATTTAATTTCTCAATTTTAATTTCTAACATGGTAAATATCAATAGATAGAGGGGCAAAAAGCCCTTTGTCTTCTTCAGTAATTTTGAGGGTGTTCAGTGCTCCTGAAACCAGGAAGTTTGAAAGTTACTGCCAGGGTTGACAATATTAGAGATAGAACTGGTAGGTAAAAGTGATGTGCATTTGTAGCTTGAAAGAGTCTTTTCTTGTAATTTCTATCAGCTGCTTCCTACCAGCACTGGATAAGATACCTATTTCCTCTTGAAAAATAGCAGTAGTCTTGATCAGTTTGCTAACCTGATATAGTTGGAAATAATTTTTCACTGTAGTTTAAATTTGCATTTCTCTCACTTTGCATAAGCTTGAGAATATGCTGATATAGTTGAGAGTCCATGACATTTTCTTTATAGCAAACTCTGTGTACATATTGTTTGCCATTTTCTTATTTGCTGACTTACTGATTTCTGGGTGTTCTCTATCTGTAGCCTATCATCTGCAAATTCTCTGCAAACTCCTCCTGGCTTGGCTCTGTTCCTGGACCTCTTATCCTGTTTGTTGTTCTCCGTGACTGGTCGAAGAAGAATTTCTGGCTATTTGAACTCTAATTGATCTGGCTGCCTTGCTGAAACCGGAGTGCATTCCCAAGGGAGAGTTTAATAAAAACCCAAAACTAGAGGAGAAGCTCAAGCTTTGTAAGGGAGGAGCTACAGAAACTCTGAAATTTCATACGTATCTCAGAGATCAACCCCAGATCCCAGGGCAGCACAGCCAAGAGGGCCTGGGTGCCACCACTGGTTTACACGCAAGCCTCCTGTGCAAATGGTTAGATTCATACCACTAAGTAAAGAGCATCAGTGACCTACTGAGCAAGACAACTACAAGGGGCAAGACAACCCTCTGAAAATTAAAAGTGGAATATGGAACCTTGAGTAAACCTGATAGTCTTATATTACACGTGAAAAAAACTGGAGCCAGAAAGATAATATTGCCCAAGGATACCAAGATAAAATACTAGAATCAAAATTTTGCTCTAATTCTTTCTACCACTTTATGCCTTGAAAAGGTTTGTTAGGGACTTTAAAGTCACTATTAAATATTCCTATGGGAGATGTGCTTCTGCCTCTGTCATTTGCATTGTTTTTTATCAATCCTCTTTTTCTTCACAGTTGCTTTCAGCAATACTGTCTCACATCGAGGCAGCCAGCTGACTTCTCAAAAGGCGTGAGGACGCTGGATTTTTTTTTAAAATCCGGGATATGTGGCTTTCACAGAGGAGGACAGCTGGCAAATAGCTGACAAAGGACCACCTTGGGCAATTCTAGGTGATTCATTCAAGAGCGGTACTTTTTCTTTTTCAGTTTGACATCTTTAGTGTAGCAACATGTCTTAAAATCAGTTACAGTTGCAGTCGGCCCATGACTGTGACATGCTTTTGGCAGCACAGGCAAGAATCTGAGTGGTAATGAAATTGAGAATGAGTCAGGTGGTGCTGGTTTCAGCAGCACATGTTCTAAAACATGTTCTAAAACTAAGAAAATCAGCACAGCCCCTGTGCAGGAATGACAGGCCAATTCATGAAGCGTTCTGTGTTTTTGGAAATAAAACACATCCACATAGTAGAAGTGGAATTCCTATTACCATTGTTTGCAGATGACATGATCTTGTATCTGGAACACCCTCAAAGGCTTCCTCACAGAAACTAACAAAACTAATGAAGTCACCAGGCTCTTAGTATGAAACACAGCTAAGTTAGATAAAATATTATAGGAAGCCAGACAGCGCTAGGTCTTCAAGGGAACCAGTGCAGAGGGTAAAAAAACATTGTAACCCTGGCTGGAGGAGCATCCATTGAAGGCCAGTTCTCAAGATAAAAACAGAATGATTAGGCTTGCATTCCTCCCCAAGGAATAATCAATATATCATAATTGGTATTACCCGGTTCAGTAAAGTCTAGACATCAGTCACCCAAGTAGGTAGCCAGGACCTCCCAATTCATCCCTTCCTAGGGATTTTGTTCTTTCCATGTACACTTGCTATGTGACCTGCTTCCCCGTTACATCAATACTTCCTAGACGGCAATACTTATAATCTTACTGGTTGATCATAGTTTTAACCATGTTGTGCCCACCTCATGATTTTGTACTCATCTTGTGATTTTGCTTAAGAAGTGGGCTCATTGGCAACACATTTTGGGGTCCCCTCCTACCTCCCAGGAGCTATTTCTCTCAATAAATATTTCCTATTCTTAATCTCTTTTGTTCCTCAGAATTCATTTTTTAATTTTGCAGTACATGACCTCCGTGTATCTGACATCTAGCAAGTTTATTTCCCCTATATCATTAGAGCATGAAATCAACATGAAAATCAGTAGCATTACTATATTATAGAAGCAATTTTTCTGAATAAGAAATCAAGAAAGAAATCCAATTTATAATAACTACTGAAAGAAAATTCTCTAAGAGTAAATTTATCTGAAAACGTGAAAGATCTTTACAATAAGAAACTGAAATACAAGAAACTGAAACAACTTCACCCACAAAAGATCCTCATGGTCATAGACTGAACAAATATTGTTCAAATGACCTTACTTCCCAAACAATCTGAAAATTCAATGCAATCCTTATCAAAATACTAATGACATTCTTTACAGAACCAGAAGATAATCCTAATTATTTTTTCAGTACTGGGAATTGAATTGACTTACATTCACAGTCTTTTTTATTTTTTATTTTGAGACAGGGTCTTGCTAGGTCAGTAAGTTAGCCAGGCTGGGTTTGAATTTGAGATTCTCTTTCTTCAGGCTCCCAGAGCTGCGATTATAGATGTGCATCACTACAGCCACCTTTACCCACCTTTATCAAACCAAAAATTCTTACGGAATCATAAAATGAAACAAAATCTGAATAACCAACGTGATCTTGGGAGTGAAGGGAGGCAAAGCAGAAGTCATGTCAGAACTGGACTTCCTGATATGCTGTAATGCTTTTATAATCAATGCCTGATGCAACCAGACACACGCATTAATGGAACAGAATGGAGAAGCTAGAAGTGATCTTTGATGAAGGGGCTAAGAACTCAGAGAGGACAGTCTCTTCATTAAAGGACACTGGGAAAACTTTACATCACACGCAGGAAGATGAGACTATACCCCCTCTCTTGCCAGTTGCAAAAGTCACAAAATGGAAAAAGGAAACAAATATAAAATGTGAACCTATGAAATCTGTAGAGGAAAATGAAAAATGTTTGGGGACATTGGCGTAGGTAAAGCCTTTTAGGCTCAGATCTCAAGAGCAAAAATAGACAAGTGGGATTATATCAAACCAAAAATTTCTGCACTGCAACAAAACAATAGAGTGAAAAGACAATTTATACCAGCTGAGAAAATATCTACAAACTCTATATTTAATAAAAGTTAATATCCAGAACTACAAGGAACTAAAAAAACTCAATTGTGAGAAAAAAATCTGATTAAAAAAACCAGAGATATAAATAGATATTTCTTAGAACACGTAGGAGTGGCCAAAAGCAATAGGTACATGAAAAAATGCTCAATATTGCTTTTCAGCAAAATGCAAAGTAAACTGAGATATCATTTCCCTCTAGTTAGAATGACTATTTTTAATTTTTTGTCTTTGTTTTTGTTTTTTCAGTCTCACTATGTAGTTCAGGCTGGCCTTGAACTCACTATATAGCCCAGGCTGGCCTCCAACTCACAGTGATGACCTTCCTTGCTTCAACCTCCTGAGTGCAGGGATTGTAGACATGAGCTGCCATGCCTTGCAGAATAACTTTTATTAAAAGGACTATAGGCAACAATTCTTATTAAACTACCAACACCGATAAGAATATGGAAAAACAGAAACATTTGTATATGGCTGGTGGGAATGTAAATTAGGATAGCTGCCATAGAAAAATAGTATGGAGATCCCTCAAAAGTTAAAAATAGAACTGCAGCATGACTCAGCTATCCCACTACTGGGTATTTGTAAAGGAAATGAAATCTGTGTATCAAAGAGATAACTACACTCCCATATTCATTGCTATACCAAGGACAATATCCAAGAACTAAAATCAACCTAAGTGTCCATCAACTGAGGAATAGAGAAAGAAAATGTGATACTATTCAGTCATAGAAAGTGTAAAACCTGTCATTCTCAATAACATGAATGAACCCAGAGATCATTATGTTAAGTGAAGTCAACCAGACACAAAAAGACAAGTACCACATAATCTTTTTATTAGTCATTTTCCTGTCACTGGGACGTAATATTGGACACCCACAATTTAAAGAAGAAGAGGCTTATTTTGGCTTACAGTTCAGAACAGTGTTTGGCTGGGTTCAAGGCAGAAATGGCACAATGGTCGGATTTTTGGAGGAAAATTGATCAGCTTGTGGCAGCCAGGAATCAGAGAGAAAGGAGCAGGGTGACTCACCCTTCCAGGTCATGCCCGCCTCCTAACAGTGCTTTTGATGATTATGAACTCACCAGGGTACCAATCCATTGGGAAGTGTGGTGATCCCATGATCCCATCACCCTCCAAGAGCCTCGTCTCTGAACATATGAAACATTTGGGGGACATCTAGACTGTGACATCTCACTCACATGTAGACCTACAGATATTGATCTCCTAGCACTTGAGAGTAGAGTGGGGGTTACCAGAAGCTAGGAGAACAGAGGGGAGAGAGAAGGCTGGGAAGAGGCACGGTTAGATGGCAGAAAGGAGACCTGCCCTGCTACTCACGATAGTAGGGTTATCATAGGTAAAAATAATGTACTGGGTTCAAGAAACCCAGAAGAAAGGATTTTGAATGTTTTCATTACAAAGAAGGGATAGATTTGAGATAGATATAACCCTGATCTGAAAATTACATATAAAACATTATTGCATCTGAGCATTATATAAAAACATCAGATGGCATCCCATAAATACATACAATTTTTATGTGCCAATTTAAAAAAAGAACAAAAGAAAAACAGAAGAAGTTGGATGGATAGCACAGACGCTTGTTACCCAGTTCTGTGGCTACATTTCCACAATCGTTGATTTCTATCCACTCAATAACTTGAACCATTTGAGGGATTGATGAGTTTAGTTGTTTTGTGGACTCTTTCTTGCAACTCTATTAAAACACTAGCATCACACCTTGAGCCACAATGTTAAGAGAAATAAATCTGACACAATCATAAGAATCACATGGTTTCTGTTATATGAGAAACCTAAAGTTTAAATAATTTAAAGAGCAAATAAAAAATAGGGAAATATAGCTTTCATAAAGGGAAAGGGAACCGAGAGCTCAAGGGTGTGGGAGGGAAGAGCAAGGGGGAATAAAGAGAGTTACGGTCCATGATGTACATATATGATACATCAACTCCCCACACTAATGCAATCATGTCCAGCCTGTGAACTAACAAACATTAAAAATCGGCATCAGAATGTGTAGAATGGATGTTGGTAGCTTACACACACAATGGGAGATAACAGTGGTGCCCATTTCAAGTAGATGCCTGTTCACCACCTTATCCTGGCTCAGAGGCTGGCCCTGGGAGAGGACACACACAGAGGCAGCTGGCCAGGGAGCTGAGAAGTTGTGAAAGCATCGTAACAGTAATATTTTTTCTCATTTCCATGCATAAAAGAAACACATGGTAAACATCTATGACTACATAAAAGACGTTTTAGTAAATACTCAATTCTATGTCATAAGAATTCAGTGTGTAATAGTAGTTGGCAGTGTATTTCTCCTTTCTTGTGGCACAAAAAATAAATGGTGAGTTTTATGCAAAAGGAGGACAGCTACTACAGAAGAAACTGTGGTTAGGATTTTAAGAAATCACAAGGGGGTGTTCATGATTCTTTGCCCACTTGGCTGTTAATCCACCTCTTCCCTGGCCAGCTATATTACTTGAGGACATGTATGTGACTGTAATAAGATCAAATTGTTACCTGATGATTTTTAAGTAGTAGATCAGACAGAGTGGATCTTGAATTGTAAGTGGAAAAAGGGCCTGAGAACTGTGTAATGTAGGGGTTATGTAACTCCAACAGCTTCATCTGGGGTTCATAATAAATAAATCAACTCTAAAGAAATACGTTCCATTTCTAGCACTATTTTTAAAACTGATTATACAGGATGGATTTAAATGGTCTCATCACTCCCCTCATAAAATAATTGCTTTTAAGAACATACATCCATCTGACTTCTATTTCTTCAGACCCATTTAATGAATCAAAGTTCTTGGGTAAACATTTTAAAGTTGTTAACAGTCATCTTTATTTCATTTGTACTAATAGTTGTTGATGTTACTGTGGTTTTCATCGTTCTGAAAAATAAACCTACATCCTCAGTAAACTACACACAGCTGAAGGTCCTGCCCCATGCCAGCTGACATTCGTGTTACAGGAGCGCCTTGTTCTGCAGATACAAACCCCCCCCCCATCCTCAAGTTTTCTAATTGAGTATTTACAATGCAATGAGGTACTGCCCCAAAGAACTTGCAAAGGATTCTTTTAAAAGGCAAATGCTTTTTAAAAATATGAATTTAATTACCAACTCTTAATTCACCAGTGGTTCCCTTTGATGTTTATTTCTTA